GTGGATCAAAGAGATTGATGACTCAAATATCTCATCCCACAAGTGTCTTTAGATCGACGGTCAAGATTTGACCCTACGAATTGGGGCAAACCCCCACCTCATAAAATCTCTACACATGTTTTTTCTTCTCTCTCTAAGGGTTTATCTTTGTTTCTCAAAGACCTCTCTATAGATGGTACGCCCTACCTAGGGCTTCAAGATCTCTCCCAAGTTTTTTTAAGGGGGCACGCTCCAATTAAAATCTCTTTCAAGCCAAGGAGGGCACACCTAAGTCATCTCTCTCTCGTTTCTAGGTAACACACCCAAGCTAAGGTTAGCTTGTGGTGGTTTGATTTCTAGGTAACCAAGGGGAGGATGCCCTTGCTAGCAGATTTCTCCCTCTCTCTTTGATCTATCACTCATTCCTCCAAAGATCAAGTCACAGGGGCTTGAGCAAAAGACTAAAGCATTGAGGCCTTAGGTAGTTGGATTTAGATCAAGATCCATATGCCATTAAGAGGGTTTTCCATATGTAGGAGAATTAAGAGACCGATCATAGATCTTGAGCCTCATCAAAAAGAAAAGACTCGGTGTGGGGTACACTAAACCCGGTTGAGATTATCTCCGATAATTTTATATCTTTAAATATTTATTTGTGATTTGATCTTCTCTTCCCATAAAATAATGAGTTAATGTTTTGATTTAAAGAATTGTATTTAATAGTGGTAGCAAGTGATAACCGTATTTATTTCAATTTATTTATTTGTTTTAAAAGTTATTTGTTTTAAAAGTTATTTGTTTGTAATTGGCATTGTGAGTGGTCTTACCAATGTAAGAATAAGAAAATAATTTTTTTTTTTAATTTATATATATTGTACTTGATTACGTAGACCAACTTTTAGGGAACACATATCACCTACCTGCTAAATACAATCTAAATTGATGATTCCCAATCTAGATCATCGAGTTTTAAACCCAGCCTACAATTGTAATGCAGGAAGTGCATTAAAATCGGCTAGGTCACCGTCCTTTCTCAAACAGGTACAGGGAATTAGATTAATTGCCTCATTCACAATTCTTAAATTCATCCTATGTCAAGGTTGCCAAGAGGCAATACAAGCCCATCCTTTGTGTTGGTCTTTCTCTTTCTCCTATTCCCTCCTCTCCTCTCCTCTTTCTTTCTCTCTCCTTGAACTCAAACAGAGTAATGAAGAAATTTTATCTGTTTTCCCCTAGTCCCTTCTCTGCTCTCTCTCTCTCTCTCCTAAGGCTAAGCTCTCTCCACTCTTCTCACCTCGGTAATCTATATCCTTCGTCCCCTCGCCTTTCACTCTCTCCTCTCTTTTCCTCTAGTTTCTATTCGCACAATCCTTTGTTCTATGTGATCGTAATCTTTTTAGGGTAACCTTTCTGCTCTTTCTCTACAGCATAAAACTTATATACTTCCCCTTATCCAATTGTCCATTCTGAATGGAGGGCTAAGATTGCCCCCAATCACAATATCATATCTCTATACTATTTTATTTTTAATTTTTTTTCTATAAACTACTTTGACACCAAATTTGAACATCCGATCCTTTATTAAACTCGAACTAACGAAAAATATTAAAAATATATTTCTAATGAAATATAATAACCAAAATACCCCTGAAAGTTTCAAGGGGTATTTTGGTCATTATATTTTATCGAAAAATTATTTTTAATATTTTTTATAGGTGCGCCCCCATGAAAAGATGGCATGTACCAAATTTCATATTCAGACAATTTGTATAAAAATAATCTAAAAATAAAATACTTTGAAACATCAGATCTAAGATCAAACGGTGAGTGGTTTTCTTGATCAAAATTGGATGGCTTGATGGTAGAAGCATAGATCTTCTATATTATAAGAGAAGCATAAAAACCTTTGCCGAACCCATCTTTTTATAGCACCCCATTTGTTTACCGAGCTTAGGGTTTTGTGATTCACTACATTTGTTTACCGAGCTTAGGGTTTTGTGATTCACTGCATTTGTTTACCGAGCTTAGGGTTTTATGATTCACTACATTTGTGAAAGTTTTTGTTATTGTATTTATTTGTTGTATTTTACTTACATTGTCACTTTCTTTAAAAAAAAAACAAGGACAGACAAACCCACGTATTCAAAGTTCCAGCGGTTTTCTCTTCCATTTTTGTCATGTAGGCCTTTTAAATTGATTTCTTTTCACTTCCCAAAATGAAGCTCAGATTAATGTTTTTCGTCATTGGAATCAGTCCGATACAAATGTTCATATCCATGGATTCACAGGTAGTTTTCAAATTAGGATAAAACCACTAACTCTATTGTGATCTTGTCAGAAAAAAAGAAGAAGAAAAAGTACATCCACTAACTCTATACCCAGATTAAACTTGGCAAATCACGTATCAATATGAAAAATGAATCTTGAGTCGCAATTAGGAAATTGAATCAATTTTGGAAGAATTTCGGTCCTAATTAGTGTTTGATTACACAAACTGGCTGCGGAAACTGGTTATGGGCTCGGTAACCCGAACCAGGCCGAGCAACTGGCCCAAGTCCAGCACCACCTAGGCAGAATTTTTGCTAAAACTGCAAAAAGTTCCCAAAAAAAAGAATAAAAAAATATGCGTTTAAAGTAGATTAAAGAAAAACTATCTACATGAGGTTAAAAAAAATAGTAAACAAATAGATTTTAAAAAATCAATTTGTGACTGGAGTTATTTTTGAAATAATCCCAAAAAGATGGGAAAATATAAAAAGTAAATATTCATCACCAAAATACTTTTCAATGCTTGCCAAAATGATGTAACACAAAAAAAAAAAAACATGTCATGAATAGATTTCTTTCATTTTTTTTTGAATTTTTTATTATTTTTTTTAATATCCTTGATTTTGGGGACACCCAACCCGGGGATACTTGAGCTCGCTAGGGTGGCAAGCCTAAGTTACTCGACAAGTCTGAGCAGACTCGCCCGATTAGTCGAACACTGGTCCTAATGAACCTCAAACAATGTTATAATTCCCTAACTCATCAAAGGAATCCCATCTTGCTCGCAGTCTTACTCCATTCTTAATAGCTTGACAATTGAAGCTCGCCTACTTTAACTTTGAAACTCCATGGAAAACATAACGTATTCTGCATTTCCTTTCCAACAAATACACCACCTTCTTTCAAGTAATCATCCATTGTATGTAATAAATTTTGTGTCGATCCAACCATGCCTTCACCCTAGCTCGCATTGCTCCCTCTGCTTAATTCTCCTTTTCTTTTATGTTGACTGAGAGACCTCTCTATTAATCTGAAACAACCATCCTTTATAATGGTAAGTTAGGCATGTCACTATTGAAGCATATTATGGCACAACTCAATCAAGCCAACCCCAAATAATCATACAATCTTGGCTGCTGAGAATCAAATCTGATAGCCCACCTAAACAAAAATAAAGACTTAAATCTCATATATGCGTGAGAATAAGTTAGTTAAGGTGACAATGGAGCTTGGCCTGGCTGGCCCCTACAGGCCCAGCCCAGCTCTCAGCCCAGAATGGGCCACAGGTCCCTGCCCAGCTCTCAGCCCAGACTGGGCCACAGGTCCTGCCATTTGCCCAAACCTATGCATGAGCTAGTTAGCCTGGCCTGTGCCCATCAGTGGTTAGGTCAGGCCAGTTTGGGCAACTAGATAGTGAAGTTTTTTTTATTTTTTTTAAAAAAGACAAGGCTGGGATGCACTGGGCTACAACCCCTGAATTACGCAGAGATGCCCAAGGGCCGGACCTAGGCGCCTTGTCCAGGCTCGGAGTAGCCAGGGCCTGGGCTGGGGCTGGGCCTAGGCTGCCCATTGCCATCCTACTAGTTGCAAAAGAGCAACCATGGGCAACACTTGGAGTGCCACTTACACAAGAAAATGATAAAGACAACCTTATCGATGACTAAATGGGAGCAGCCTTTCATTCGGCAGACATCAAGAAACAATTGACAACAGTCAAACAGAGCTATGAAGTAAAGAAGCCTAAATTTTTTAAGTTTATAGCTTGGACGGCAGCCATAGATTTTTTATATCTTCATTGCCAGCATAGAAGTTCTAGAAAACCATACCAGCTTGGCCCAAGAGTATCACACTAGAAATCGTCTCAAGAATGATAAAAGGGGGAGCAAATTCATGGCCCAATCACTGTCACGGCTCTTACGCTTTATGGAAATCACATGTTTCCTTGCCTTTCTGATACTATCCATGGAGCATTGCCCCACTTTTCAGTAAACTAATCCATAGGCATGATAGAGAAAGAGATTGCCTTTTCACATATGACAAAGCAACCCACAAGTAGAAACATCCTTCCCTTTTAATGCCCCCTTTTCAGAAAACAGACTAACAAAGGGTAAACCTTATAACATGACATATTGGTCTTGTCGGGAAAGGGTCTGGGTCGTGGTGGTAGTACCCCCATACCTAGTTACCACATTTTGGTTTTCAATCCCACAGCCACCACTCACTGACACCTTCAAAAAAAGCTAACTCGTAATCAATTTGAAAAAAACGGGTAGGGGCCTGTCTTCCCCACTGAACTACCCAAAAACAAAACATATTGGTCCAGTTTTGGTATGTGTGCATGAGTGTGTGTGAGAGAGAGAGATCCCATGATTCCCATCAGTAAACATTGATATTGTAACGACAAAGATGCCCTTGAAAGTTGGAGGACTTAGTCATCAAAACAGAAAAGGTCATCTCGAGCCATATCCACAAGGTTTCATTGAGGCATATACCCATTTTGCCTGGTGCTAAATCATTCTTCTAGTAATTTATTTCATCAATTAAAGGGCTCAAATTAAATAATCCCTCAAAAGACCGAAGAGCACATCTTTTATTATCAAACATGTCATTTAACATCTGTTCTCTCAAACTCTCGAATTGATTAAACTATCTGGCATCCTAAACATATTATTTACACTCAAGAAATGGACACTTTGATCAAAACATACTGTAACGAATATGTATATTTGAGAAATAGCAACCCACGAACAGAATAGTCCTCAAAATATATCACCTCAATTAAAAGCATCAATATTAACAAAATGGATAGATGAATGACTAATCAAACGCATTGCAACATTTTAGTATTTTCCTTACATACAATTGAATTGGGAGAAATGTCCACATTCTCAGTGAACCCACTACTCCACAAAGGGGAGCCTTTCAATGGTTGACTAGAACCAATGCACACCTCTATTCTACGATGAAATTGACTATCATTTGGCTTCAATATAACAGGAAGAGGAAGATATATATGATTCTCCAACAACAACATATGCCTCGGCTTTATCCTGTTTTCCAAGCTAAAGGAGAAGTATTGAGGAAACTCCTTCAATTCATCCAAATCACGGCGCATATTCTCAACAAAATAATGAAGTTTTGGCTCGAAATTGCCCTTTATGCTATAACAAAAAAGTTGGGGGTACCTCCTTACCATGACCTCAACATCTTTACGAGAAAACCCAACCTCCCGGAAGTACTGTATTCTCGGCAAAAACTTTTGTTCGACACTGCATGATAGGAGAGATGTATATTTATGAACCTCTTCAATTCCAATTGACTGAAGATAATAAAGAGTAGGTCGAAGTTGCTTCTCAACACTGCAAGCAAGCAGTCTAGGACGCCTTATAATGACCTTTCTGATATTTGAGCCCAATACATTCACCTCTCTCAATAGAAATGTGATAACAGGTAATAGGTCTTTGGAAACACTTGAAATTAATATCTCGGGGCACATGCCAAAGATCCGATCAAGGTCAGAAAGTAAAATACCTATTGATTCCAAGAACCCAACAACCGATTTCATGTCAAGTATAGATGCAGAGCTTATAGGACGGTAATCAGAGATTAAGCGCACAGTATCGACTCCTATGGATTCAAGATAAAGAACTTTCTCTCTAAGGTGAAGATGGGCATCTTGGGTAGACAGAGATACGGGCTTCTTAAGGGGTTTTTGGAGATTGTGTGTGTTGGAGAGGGAAATGGTGGTCGTTTGGGGGCGTTCAGTAGGTATTGTCAGGGGGGCTGGTGAGAGATTGTGAGGAAAGTTGGGCTTTCGAAGAGGTTGGATAGTGTTGCAGAGATGGAAAGTGTCTTCCACAGACTGTGTGCAAAATGAGAGAGTAGAATGCAACTTTGACAACATATTACATGCATCAGCCATCAAACGAGGAAATTAAAGAGAATTTCAACAAACAAGATAATGAGAACCTTAACTAGAACTAGAATCCATCGATAAAAGTTGAAATAAGCACTAGAAAGTGGTTTAAATTACTGATTTCAACATAGAACGTAGCTCCAGGATATCCCAAAAATTTGCCCAAAAAAAAACAAGGAAACCTAAAAAAGGAAGTTTTGGTTCAGGATTTCACCAAATGAATCCTAGAAAACCCCATAAACCCAGTCCAAACCATTAATCGGCACACAGTGTTGACAACAGGACATCAACACTCTCAATCAATACTAAAAACCTAAACATTATGACTGGAGAAGAACCCTAAATAGACATCCAACAAATGAAATGATCAAACAATCAACAAAAGAATACGCACGGTGGAACAGAAAATGGAGGAAGAAAACCCTAAAAATACCTTCAGCTTACACCGTTCACCAAAACACCTATTGGAGAAGCTCCATTAAAACCCTGGGAAGAGAAACGATTTTCAAAAGCCCTGCAACACCGAGGGGACAGAGCTTGTTTACAGAGAATATTTCAGTGAGAGAGACGGAGAGGATAAGTGGCAGGATGGAAATTTATATAGTGGACGTCTGGCGCCACAAATTGAAGTGCTGTGGATTTCGCAGTGCCCTCGATTGGATTTGTAGCCACGTGCGAATCCATAATACTGCGGATCATAGAAGGGTGCGGTTTTGTATAGAGCCGAGGCTCTCAACAATCGAACTGCACCTTCAAATAATGTTGAAAAATATGGTTTCAATATTGAAAATTTTTATGATAGCCTTAAAATATAAGACAGTTGTAGAGAGAACCAGAGGAACTAGCGTACCAAGTTAGTGAATGCCTTGTGGGCTTACTGAACAGCTTCCCAAAGCTCAACAGGTTACTCATTGTTCATGTATTTTTTATTTTTAATTATTAAATTTAAAGCTACAAAAATAGTGTAAATCGTGCATATACATGAAAACTTAAACAAATTAAAAGTTTTCGGTACAAAAATGTATTACGAGATCACTATTTTCAAAATTTGAAATCTATTTTTTTGTCATAATCATGCATATTGATGTCAAGAAGATCAAATATAAAGATATGTGGTCCTCAAAACAACCTTTTCTAATGAGATTTTTGAGGTGGGCTTTAATTTGATTGTTTAGAGCCTAGACTCTATATAAACTTTTTTCATTATAGAATGGGTTAAGGCAATCAGCAGCCTTACACAAGTATTTCTCTAGTGGACACGGCCAAGCCTGTACATGTAGAAATACAGGCCCCTTAATAATTTTATTTTTGAAATAAAATTCAATTTTAATTTTTAGAGAATATATAATCTTTAATATGGAGATCATGAATACGGATAAATAAATACAATTTGAGTATTAAAAATAATAATTTTATTAAAAAAACATTTGGACCGTTAATTTCAATTGTTTTTAGATGGACCACATCTTTGCATCCATCTTTATGATGGAGGTTTTATACAAATGCGGTCCAGCCTGCATCAAACAATACTCTTATCTATTACGTTATCGAGTATTTAGTAGTCTGTCCAAAATTTCAATGCTGCACCAATAGGTTTGCCAATCATACATATAACACCTTCGTTACATGTAAAAACATCAATTAGAAGCTTGCATATTCAGATTTATATATTTAGATTATAAAACATATTTTAATTTAATAAGTAAAAATATACTTTGTAAAAGAAAAAAATTATATAAGTGAGAGGCTCTAAACCATCAAATTAGGGTGCACATCAAAAATCTTACTAGGAGAGGTTCTATATAGAGAGTCTTTAAAAACTTAGTCGATTTTTTAAAAATCGGCTGACTACTTCGGGATCGGTCACTAACTGATCTTGATCTAGCCGTTTTATATATTGAGAGAGAATTTTACAAAAGCGATCTTAATTTCAAATTATCCTTCAGATTTGGCTATATAATCATTAATATCAAAATACACCAAAGATGTCTAGGTTAATCTATGGAAAGGAACCTATCTTTAGAAGGTCGAACTTGAAAAGTGCCTCTACTAGAATTATTTGGATTTTTTTATTTTTTTAGGTATTCTTTTCTTATTTTAAAAAAATATATCCTGGACCGGTTAGTCAGATTAACCAGCCAGTTAGTCCGATTCCGACTCCAAATGTTTGGAGCCCTATGTCCGGTTAACCGTTGGATGCTACCATGGAATCGGGCTTCTTACGGCCAAATTCCTATTTTACCCTTAATTCCGCCCAAGTGTCTTCTCTTCATCTCGTCCATACGAAAGTCACGATTTTCTCTTTCTCCAATGTCACGGCCCTTTACAATCCAATCAACAGCCGACTCCAAGCCCCGTCTACCAGACAAGAGGAACCGAACGGGATCTGGAAACTAGGGCTTGAAGCCCGCCTCAAAGATACCTACAGGTAAATACTGGCCGATTTTATCACATAGGCGACGATTACTTTCCTTTATCTTCTGCATTAATTGATTCTGAAAAAGATGTTATATTCATAAAATTTGTATATGAAGTCTTTGCTTGCTATTTTTCATTGGTTTTTTAGCCATTTTTCTGTTTATATTTGAAGTTTTTGAGCTGATATATTTCATTTGTGGTTTGCTTCACTGTTAAGAAAACGTTAACAATATTTAAATAATGCAAATGCTTCAATTTTTTGTTATGTTGATCGTAAGCCTCTGCAGTAAAATTTGAATTCTGAAATCCTGAAAATTTTCGAGCTTAAACAGTGGCCAATTTAACATTTTTCGTATTGCCCTCTTTCTCGGTTGTTCAGTACATTGGTAATTGGTTTCATTCTTCAAAATTTCCCTTTCATTCCTTTCTGATTTGTTGATGGGAACCGAAAACTCTGAATTTCGAATTTATTTTTTATTTTGAATTTTGGGGAGCTTGTGGAACTTCAGTTCCTCTTTTTTCCAAATTTTGAATTTCCTTTTGATTTACATCTCAAATTGCAGAGAAATTCATTGAGATTCCCATTCAAATCTGGGGTTGAAAAGATCAGTTTTGAACGTTTATTTGAAATATGTACCAAAATTCTGCTTTTTTTTTTTTCTTTAAACTGTTAAGTGTTCAAAATTTTGCTATTGTTTGGCTCAAATGGGACGTAAAAATTTCCCATTATTTCTTGAAAATTAGAATTGAAATTTATTTTAACGCAATTGTCTTATAAGAGTTAGTGGATATGAGCGGTCACTTGAGTACCCAAATTCCTGATCAGAAATTGCTGGATATACCCATGGTTAAATAACTGCCAGTTAAAATAATATGTGTATTACAAGTAGTCAACAATACACTGATTTCTTGGGATTATATGCTGGTTTTTCTTTTCTCATTCATAACCAGGAAGAAAGCCCAAGTAGTTGTATCCAGAGAATGTTACAGATTATTAAATTTTGGCACATTATTGGTTTTCTATCCTCTTCTATCTGCTTTAGAAGAATTAACACTTTAGCATTTAAGTGACAAGTTTACGGATTATATACATTACCTAGCTGGATTTTTCCCTGAGGTGGTTGTTTGTTTGTATGATTATGATGAATGCCTCTCATGGAAAATTTAAAACCAAGAAGTAGGAATTTGATCAACTTTGTGCATTAGGAAATATTTGTGGTAATGCCATATATAGTGCAATTTTATGAATCACCTGGTACCTAGTACGTGAATTTAGCAGAAAACCTTCACCAACTTATGCTTAATGTCTGAGTTTTCTCTCCTTATGCTTACGCCATATCTACTGAATGATGTAATATTGGGTACCAAGATTAATTATTGTTTGGCTTCGTGCTTGGTGTAGCATGTGAAATCGAAGCACCTAGAGCCTCCATGCTATGCAAGTCCTCGTTACAATCCAAGGGCTATTTTTTCATTCTTAAAATGATTATTAGATATGTCCCTTTATAGATTGTCTACTGATGTCCTGGCTTGGTTTTTTGTTGTATTGCAGTTGTGCCTCTAATGATGTGTTCATTTATTTCATTCCAGTTATTTTAGCTTTCTGCAAACTTTTCTTTTTGATATGTCAGAACTAATTTGATTGGTTATTTTGCCACCTATGTTTTTCACTTGTTTGGGATGTGCCCTATTTTTTCAAATATTTATGATTTTGGGGCCATGCAAATATATGGTGTAAATGATGAGGCTGGAAATGCCTCACCTAGGTACTCGTTGTTGCAAACCAAGGTTCGGGGTTCAAGAGCCTAATATTAGAAAACAATTAATACAAGAATGCATTGCTTATCTCACAAAAGAAAAGGATCTTAAACAAAAGAAAAGAGACATGATTTTTCAGAAAAGAAAAAACCAAGAGCAAAAGATAGGAAGTATATAGTAGAAAAGCCAAGTATCATCCTTTATTCCTTCAAAATGGCAGTATTGGTTGTTAATGCATAAACCGGATCCTGATATTCTATCTATACCAGCTTTACTAATTAGTTTTGCCTATCAAAATTTTCTGTCACTCTGACAATAGTTGTTACAGGGTGCAATACCCCACCTCTTTTGATATGGGAAACAAACCTACAAAGAGAGAACCTACAAAGAGAGAGAGTGATGTGATTCAAGTGAAAGTTATGCCACCATTAGATCAAGCCCTTTTGAAGTGGCTTACTCGAGATTTGGATCGCATTCATAGCTTTGCTCCAAGGAATCCACGTGCCATCAAGCCACCAGAACATTATATCGAGTACATGCGTATGAATGGATGGTTGGATGTGAACTTAGATGATCCTGATTTGGCTCACCTTTTCAAGTGACAAGGCCCCTACTCTTTTGTCTCTGTGTTTTAATATTGTTTTGGCTCAACTCATTAAGTTCCCTTCTCTTCTTTTCTCTTTCCGCGTACGGGTGAGGTGGGATGATGATCTTGATTTGATTAGCCTCTCAAAATAACAAGATCTTTCTCTTTCTTCTGTCTTTGTTTTTCATTGTTGGTTGAGCTAGGTTTGGCAGAAATCAGTTCGAAGGCATGTGATGCTTAACCCAACAACAATGATAAATTGAGGCAATGATTGTCCCACCTCTTCAAGTGAAGAATCATCTTTTCTATTTGCATGACCAGATCTATTTTGAAGCTTCAATGCATAACTAACTCATGAATGTTAGATCTGTCTTGGTGGTATCTATGTTGTTGGACTCAGTTTCTATGCGGCCAAGCCCACGTATATAGAAATGCGGGCCCATTAATAAATCTATTTTTTAGATGGATTTTTGGTAATGTAATCTCTAACATGGATGTCATGAATATGAAAAAATAAGTAAATTTTAAAAGCTAGAAATAATAATTTTAATAAGAAAACATTTGGACTGTTAGTTTCCATTGTTTTTAGATGGAACACCTACTGGCATCCATCTTTAATACGCTTGCTTTACACTTTTTGGACTGCATATGTAGTTATGCGGTCCAGCTCGCATGAAACAATTTTCCTATGCTGTTACTTCCAAACAATTACATATGCCGTTTACTGTACGTGGAAGTTTTAGGGATGTGCATTGTTGTTGAGGATGTTTAGTTGGGCCTACTTGGGGAATTCCATAAAGCTTGAGCAAGAACATTTAGCTTTCAAATAACTCGAGGAACGGAGGTAAATGGTGGATGAATGATTTGGACCTTCCGTTGAGAGAATTCTTGAGAATCACAACCATAGAGTTCGATGATTTTATTAGATGGAGATATGCCATGACAAAATGGAATGTGATACCTGGTATTCCAAAGCAGCAAGCGTCCACTGCCTGTTCTTGCCAACAGATGGCGGTGATCAACTGTAGCGGGCGCACCTGAGCCATGCACCAGTAGAGGTAATCCCCAACACTTTGGCATTAGGAGTTGACAGTACTCAAGAGTTACCATGTACCAAGCCAAATTAGATACCATATACCAAACTCCATCGGATTACGGTATATAACCACCTTGACTATCAGTTGATCCACATTTCAGGGTTATGTTTGGATATTTCTCGTAGGACAGATACTTGTTGAGAGTCCAAAAGCTAATTAACTCAAGGAAATGACCTTGCGTGAGCCATCTCCCACTTTCATGCAATTCTCAAATTATCGGGACGCTCTCTTACAACCACATTGGCTCCATCTTTGTTAGCATGAATCTTATTGCAGTGCGAACTTGTGATCCACTGTTGAGAACATATACTTTCTTTGTTAGCATGAATCTTAACGTAGCGCAAACTTATGATCCCCTGTTGAGAACATGTACTTTTGTTCTCTTTCTCAACGCAGCAAACGTACTTTTGTGCCGTATATGGGAACTGTCTCAATCTCTCTCACGGAGATGTCACTGAACTCATTTTATACAAATATCTAGCGGTACGATTTTGTGGCATCCAAATAATGGAAAACCATGCAAGTAAATCCAAGCAAAAACTAAAATTTTTAGACAATTTGTTGAACTCTCTTATGGTACCGCCCCTCCCCCTCCCCCAAAAAAAGAAGTAATTATAGGGGAATAAGATTTTGAGTGTGGGATGCGTACACAATTTATAAAATTTCTCAAACGTAATTCTATCTAAAGCGCAAAAAGAAAGTAATTTAACTTCTCCAATAAAAGAGATTAGCTAATGTGCTTCTTCTCTTCCTCTTTTTATATTTCTTTTCGAGCATTGGTATGTGTTTTGGTAGGTATTTCGATTATTCTCTATGTTGCTAAGTTTTCTTGATAAAAGTACGAAATTTTATTAATCAAGGAAAAATACAAAGAACAATGAAGGAAAATGAGGTATCATGGAATCCAGCAAACACCATTAGCTGTAACCGTAACACCTCCAACTTGGCAGCAAACACCATTAGCTGTAACCGTAACACCTCCAACTTAGCAAGATTACAGCTTCATTGGCTTCTCTATACACGTTTATAAGAAACCTCTAATAAGTTGTCGCGGTCGTTTATTTGAAGCCAAATGGATTTTAGATTCGAAGGAATTCTTTGCTCCTTATTAGACCATTTAATAGACCACTTAATGATATTTAAAGAAAGGGCGACTTTTCATGTGACCCCACCCACATAAAAAAAAAAATGTGATTGTTACTTTGTAGCCGTCGGATCTAAATGAACGGTTGAGATAACACGTCCAAATGTCACAAAATTAGGTGTAAACTTAGGAATTGGCTCTCAGCCAGTAACCTTTTCGTTTTTTTTGGGTTACGTGGGTCTCGCACCATACTCTCTCTCTCTCTGTATCCCAGTGTCTCTCTAACCCTATCCACAGTAACCCTAACCCTCTGTCAATAGCTTCTTGCTCTTTCAGTAATGCAAGGAAGCCACAAAAACCTAACCCTTTGTCAAATGAAAGGAAGCTGTAGGAACCCTACTCTTTTGTCAAATAGAAGAAAGTTGCAGGAACCTACCCCTCTGTCAATCGCTTCAATAATGGAGGGTTAGGTTTGCAAATGGAGGGCATTGCTAATTATCACTAGTTTTGAGAGAGAGGTGGTGGACTACTGCCACTTCACTAATGGAGGGTTATGTTTGCAAATGGAAAGCATTTCTAGTTTTGAGAGAGAGGGGTGAACTACTGCCGTTTCAACTATGGAGAGTTGGGTTTGCAAATGTTGGGCATCGCTAGTTTTGAGAGAGATGAGGTGGACTACTGCTTAATGTTGCAGGTGGAAATAGTCCCAGCGAAGCTTCAAATATTTGCTTCAATTTGGGTTGTCGTTCCTCTTTGTTCTATGAATATTTGTTCTGTCAATATTTGCGTTTTGTCAATTTGGAATGTGGTTTGGTAATCAAAAGACAAATTTTCAATTTGCATTGTGTTGTTCTGTCAATATTTGCTTCAATTTGTGCTGTGGTTTGGGTTGTGGTTTGTTCATAAAAACAAAATAATATAATTGATTTGGTTAATTAAGAAAGTTTATTTTTTGGGGTAATTGTTGTTGGTGGTTTGGGCTGTGGTTTGTTCATCAAAAGCACAATAATATCAAGGGTGCGGTTTCTATAAGGTTGAAACCTTAAACCATCCAATTAACACGCACCTTAAAATTTTATCATAACAAGTAATTTTGTTGTAAAAAATTCTTAGTATTATCTTAAAATCTATTTTCATACCTAATTAGAAAATTTTAATTTCCAAAAATAGTTCAAATTAAATATATGAAAATCTTGAAAATGGGCGGTCTAGATAATGTGTTGCAAGATGCACTATTTTCGGGACTCAAAAACCTTTGTTTTCATATTCATAGACCTCGATATTGAGATGATCGATTAGAGTATTTTATCCACATTAAAACAACATATCCAATAGATTTTTGAGGTGCATCTATGATTCTACATTTTAAGGTTGCAACCTTATATAAACTTATCCCTAATATCAATCGATTTGGTTAATTAAGAAAGTTTTTTTTTTTTTTGGGTTAATTGGTGCTTGTGGTTTGGGCTGTGATTTGTCCGTCAATATATATATATAT